AAGCAACATGTATATAGAAAATTCAAGTTGTCTAGTACAACAATAACTTGTAATACTCCACATAACCAAAAATAAAGAAAGATAACATATATAGCATGGAAGATTGATGTATGAGCAATAGTAAGTACCCATCACTACTAAATTTTATGTACTAGATATTTATGATTTTCCACATTATTATTATTGACCAATGAAATAGATTATACAATGAAAACAACTAAACCGTCTTCCCCTCGTAGAAGGAAAACTTATGGCGTAGTTGTGTGAATCATTAACACTTATTGTTTTGACCTACTCAATAGTAATAGAATATCAGAAACGCTTAGCAGCTGACCTCTTATCTATTATCCATTACCTTCACATTTACAAACTACTAGAGACATGATAATTATAAATTAAATACCCAAGGTTTCATATACGTATCTAAGATTAAAAAAAAATATTGGGCATAATTCACAACCGGCATTAAGTTTATATAATAGAGATTGAAGGTAAATATATTCAGAAGAAAAAAAAAACAGAGGTGATGCTCACATGACAATGCATCCGCCCAATACAAAAGTAGAACCAAAAGATTTACAACAATCAAGAGTGTAGAAATCTAAAGAAAGTGCCAGCCTTGAGCTGGTACTTCTAGCATAATCCAGACTCAAAGGAGACAAAGAAAACAAAGAGGCTTCCATCAAATAATATGGAAAGCCCAATGCCAACATACATGCCAACAGCCAAGTGGGATAACAAATGAATGAAGAAGCCAGAAGAACCTTTCATGCTCTTAGGATGAACTCCTCATAACAGAGCAAACATGCAGCAATCAAAGCAGCATTCAAGAGGAGTGAAACAAGAAAGTTGTGAACAGTGCCCAGCGACTATGGCAGGCTGCAATGGAGACCAGGCAGCAGGCACCATAATAAAAGGCAACTGAGGGGAACCAGCTGAAACAACAAATAAAGGTCATCAACACTCTGCTGAAGAAAGAAGAAAACAGAGGAGAAAGGCCAACAGCTGCATTAAACAAGTTGTGCACTTGAACAGTGCGCGTGAACAGTGCATTCCTGTCAACAAAAAACTTCAAGGCACAGGACACCCCCCGCAACATGATCCATCCTAAAGCAAATGTCCCTAGAACCAGCACAACAAACAACGATTAACCATGATCATCATGTATAAGGGCACCCCAGTGCGCAGAACAAGCAACATCTCCTGCCTCATCCATAAACGCAGGACATTCCTAGCACATATCATTTGAACCTAAGCCACAGCAAGAAGCTGCCAAGCTTGAAGGAGAGACAAGTTTTTGGGGGAACTCTTGAATTTGATTGTGACTAATCTATCTTTGATGATTTGCAAGACACACTTCACAAGACTTCTACATTCCCTAAACTGGTTTGTATGGAGTCTTCTATTCTTTTCCTTCCATATTATATACATAGTAGTTGCCAAGCAGAGCCTTTTTAACACCTTACCAAGTGACTTACCTTTCCAACTTTGACTTGCATAATCGATGAAATTCTACCAAGAGCTCGGTAGACCTTGTTCACCACACAGTTGCATAATAAAAATCCAAATATCTTGTGAGAACTGGCAACTAAAAAAGAGGTGAGAATGAGATTCCATGTCATGCCTACATAGGATTCATGTCACATCAACATCCGACGCAAATTTTTGCATTCTATCTTTAGTGCTAAGCCTTTCCTTTATTGCTAGCCAAATAATGAAGTTCATCCTAGGTATGCATTGTCCATACCACAGTAGATGGTGCCAAGGTACCTCTTGCCCAGGGGCCCTAAGGTGATTCCAAGCCGAATAAGAAGAAAATTGCCCATTTGTTGCTATAGTCCACTTCACCTGGTCTTCCTTATTTGTCAGAGGAATATATGTAGGCATATGATTTGAAATCTCCAAGAGATCAAGTGTACCTGTAGAAGGCCATGACCACCTGTTGTTGCCCATGATTGCAGCCACGTTAGCATCCTTAGGTAACCCTGCATGATCAATAACATTATCACTCCATCTAAGTAGAAGAGGACCAGGAGGGTGCCAATTATCCAACCAAAGGCTTGTACTCTCTCCATTACCAATAACATGTTGAATTAGAGGTCTAACTATTGGTCTCAGTTTCAAGAGGTTCACCCAATTCCAAGAGCAAGAGTGAGGTGGCTTAACTTCCCAGATGTTTTTCCCTCTTAAATGGTAAGAATGAATCCATTTCACCCAGAGACTTTCTTTGTCCGTAAATAAAATCTACAAATACCTCAACATCATTGTCATATTCATTTCCATAAGTTTTCTAATCCACAATCCCCCTTCTTTCTTAGGTCTGCAAATGTCCACCCAGACCACTTTGGCTCTAGTAGGCTTGAGATCAGTCCCCTTCCAGAGGAATGATCTAAGCATTCTTTCTAATTTATCGAGAACCTGTTGGGGAATAAAAAAGTGGGCTGACCAGAAATTTTGGGTGCTATTGAGCACAGAGGTAATCAATTGAAGCCTTCCAGCAAAGGAAAGAAACCTGTTGGTCCAATTTTTCACCCTAGCCTCAATTTTTTCCATCAGAGCATCACAATATTGTCTCTTGAATCTAGTGGACACCAAGGGGATCCCCAAATATCTCACAAGAAGAGCACCAATTTGGAATCCCAGAATATTAGTAATATGACCTTTTGCCTCATCAGACATCCCAGCCATGAATACATTGCTTTTGAAGGGATTAGCTCTAAGCCTAGAGAGGACTTGAAACTGGTCAATCACAACTTTCAAAATTCTTATAGACTGAACATCTCCATGACTCAAAAATAAGACATCATCAGCAAAAAGTAGGTGAGTAAGAGTCATCTTCCTACATCTCCAATGAAACCTGAATGAGGGATTAGAGGTAATTTGCTGCAATATGACAGAACTAAAAACTTCCATAGCCAGAAAAAAAAGGTATGGTGAAAGGGGATCACCCTGCCTAAGTCCCCTAGAGCTTGAAAAAAATCATGTCATCTCCCCATTTATATTAACAGAGAACCGAGGAGAAGTAATACATTCCCTTATCCAATTTCTCACAGTTTCTGGAAAATGTAAAGCTTCAAGGACATTCAAAAGAAAATGCCAATCCAATGTGTCATAAGCTTTCATAATATCCAATTTAATAGCACATCTGGGAGGACCACAATTTCTATGATAGTCTCTAAGGAGTTCCTAAGTAAGCATAATATTCTCCCCAATTTTCCTTCCTTGAACAAAGGCATTTTGATTAGAGCTTACAATACCTTGGAGCACAGCCTTCACTTTGTTTTCCAGAATCTTAGAGATGACCTTATAAAACAAGTTAAAACATGAGATGGGTCTGAAGTCACCCATTGAGTTTGGATTTGGACTTTTAGGGGCAAGGGCAATCACAGTGGCGTTGAGCTATTTAAGTAATTTCCCAGATCTAAAAAATTCTTTCACTGCAGCTATGAAGTCCCTACCAATCACTGGCCATGCCTTTTTGAAGAAGTATGCAGTAAATCCATCAGGACCAGGAGCCTTCATATTATTAAAGGATAACAACACCTCTTTGATTTCCTCATCTTCAATAACTCTGATCATATGATTTGCTTGCTGCTTAGTGACCTTCTTAAGTGGTAGAGATCTTAATAATGCTCTTCTCTCTAGGGGAGGAGTAAGGTTGCTGGTAGTACCTAAAAGTTTTTGAAAATAGTCAATAGCTTCACCCTTAACTGCTTCCTCTCCATCAACAACTCTACCATCAGTAGATTCAAGTTTTAAAATCTTCTTCTTGTTCCTTCTGCAGTTCATAGATTTAAAGAAAAAAGTGGTATTTTTATCTCCCTCACTCAACCATAATATTCTGGATTTCTGTTTATATAGGATTTCCTCGTTCCTTGCAGCCTCCAAGTAATCATTGAGTAAAAGTTTCTCCACCTGTCTAAGTGCTGAGTCTGAAGGGTTAAGGTCAAGTCCCCTTTGGCAATTATCAAGCAAAGCTTTCTTTTCTCTGACAACGGTAGCAAGCTCATTAATTTCCCTGCTCTTTTCTTTAAACACTGCTTTTAGTTTCTTAAGTTTAAAGCAAAGTTTGAATTGGTTAGATCCTTGAATAGGTTCCTGCCAAACCTGGGTGACAACGTGCAGAAAATCTTCTCTGTCAGCCCAAAAATTAAAGAACTTAAAAGGGTACCTCTTCCTATTCGCCTCCTCTCCAATCTTCACCACTGCAGGACTATGATTAGATACTCCCGGGGGTAAGAATTCAGCTTCAGCTCTATCAAATTTCTGGATCCATGCCTTATTTACAAGGGCTCTATCAAGTTTCCTAGAAACACGAGCACCTTCTTCTCTTCTACTACTCCAAGTGAAGAAAAGCCTTGAGTACCTCAAATCAACAAGCTCAGCTTCTTGAACACAATCATCAAAATCCCCCATAGCTTGCACCCATCTGTTCAGTCCACCATGGTTCTTATTGCAGCTTCTTATAGCGTTAAAATCCTCAATAACTAACCAAGGGTAGGATTTAAAGAGACCGGCATGGTAAACAAGATTTCTCCACAAGTCCTTCCTCTCATTTTCCTCATTTGAGCCATATACAAAGGAAACACAACATTTAGTTGCAGTGTCCAAATGTACCACCTCACAGTGCACCACTTGATCAGTTTCCGAGAGCTTAGTTACCATGATAGAGTTAGGATTCCACCCAATCCAAATCCTACCAAAAGTATGACTATTGTAGTTTGCCAAAAACTCCCATTGTCTAAAAATGTTATTTTTGACAGCTGAAATATTTACACTTCTCACCTTGGTTTCAACAATCCCCACTAAATCAAGGTGGCTTTCAAAAACTAATTTCTTTACTGCTTCTTGCTTAGAGGATTTGTTAAGTCCTCTTATATTCCAGCAGGCTAACTTAATCATAGGAGAGGAGAAAGCCTAAGTTTAAAGGGCTCAGTCCCTTTATCTTTCCTTTTCCTAGAGGACTTTTTCTTAGCTTTTTTCTTCTTATTCTCCCCAGGTTACTTACTTGCCTCCCCATGGTTATGATCACAACTGGTTACAACATAGTCTAAATCCACCACCAAATTACCTCCCTCAATTTCCAACCTCTCAAATCTATTTGAAGATGTAGTAGGTATAGACAGCTGAACTGGGACCTGCACTTCCACAGGTGAGATGGATGTCACCTGAGTTTCATCATGTAGTCTATGAATGGGCTGCCTGAGTATAGCAGCACCAATTTCACTGTTGCTGCTACATCTAGGATCTAATGGAGGCTTCTATTTTGACATGACCATCTCCGTTGTTGGTTCCACCTCATTGGATATAATTTCCTTGCCATTGCCAGCAGCAAGAGGATGAGATTCCTTTTGGGAATGTTTGGGCTTCCAAATGGTTTTTGTCACCATCTTAGGACATGTGGACTCATTATGGCCAAATATATGGCAACTTTGGCACACTTTGGGCTTCCACTGATATTCAACTTGTATTTCCACCTTCTCATCTTTCCCCTCAACATTCACCCTGAGATCAAAAGAGTCAATAAGCCTGGTTCTGACTTGAATTTCCACACACACTCTGGCAAAACTTAGTCTTTTCCTAGATGCAGTTAGGGTGTCTGCATATAGTGGCTTGCCTATAGCACTAAAAATATAGCTTAGCCCCTCTTCATTCCAAAATTGGAGTGGAACATTGAATAGCTTAATCCAAACCAGGATAATAGAGTGATTTTCTTTGGCAAGGATTATTTCTGGCTGCCATCTCTTGAGGATTAGAGGCCTCCCCGCAAACAACCAAGGTCCCCCTTCAAAAACAGCAGTCCTAGTCTCTTCACTCATGAACTTGAAAAAATAAAATCCTTTATCATTTGCTAGAACCTCTAACAATCCCATTTTGCCCCATACTTTATGGGCAAGGAAATTTACAGAGGAGTATGGGAGCTTCTTCTCAATAAAATACCCAACTAGGCAATTTTGCCACTCAAGGCTTCCTCTCATACCTACCTCTTTCGGAGGTGATACCACAAACCTCTCATTCTCTTTTAGTGGTTCATAGTATTTGAGTTTCATACCTGCAATTTGGGTTCCGTTGAAGGTCTTTGAAGCTTCTCCATCCAAACTAGATTTAAGAACCTGACTCCAAGATGGTATTGGGGAGTTGGGCTTCTGCGCCTGGCAGTCAATACCTTGCTGCAGTGAGGTATGTTCTAGTTGTGTCTCAACCCTTGAGATTAATTCACTATGCTGACTTTTTGACAGCTCTGATGCATTTGGGGTAGCAACTTGTTGGGGGAACAGAGACTTGAGCTGCATCTACATAGCCGTGAGCTCTACTCGCCACACTATCTGGCTTTGACATTTGGAATATTCATTTGGGACCACTTCTGCAGCAATGGCTTGGCTTCGTACCACTTTTGCTCAGTCATGAGCTGTGTATTCATTGTTTCTCATACGCAACAGTACTGAGCTCATGAGAACTCATAGGAGATTGGATTATGGATTAGATTAAGTATATATGGCTGGGGATTAAAGATTTTACAATGGATTCAGAGGTGGGTGCGAAGGATTTAAGTAGGAAGGTTTAAGGAGGAGAGAGAGAGATGGGTATGGAAGGAGGGTCTTAGAAACAAGTGGTCAGGAAACGAATTGATGAAAGATGAGGTTAATAGATGGGC